CAAATTCCATTACGATTCAACAAGAAAAGGTATTCAGCATATCAACACTGTATAACCTTCTTCCCAACCGATCCAATTATGCCAGCCCACTGACTGCTTTACCACCTCATTAACTAGCTAATGCATATTCAGGATAGCATCAGAACTACTCGCAAAAGAGAATCTTGAACCCAAGGGTCAAAGTGAGAACAAAATTCTGATTTGATCTGAATTACCCAGCATCTAGCACTAGATGGAACCGATTTTCTGCAACCAAGGCACAACCTTGTTCATCATTGCCACTCGTTTTTGCAAATCCAACTTCAAATAAACAAGTCTATATAATCCAATCCGCTCCTAAAGTCATTCTTCCCAATTACTTTAGTGTTAAATTCTTCCCAATTTCATTAGTGGACAAACACCAAAAGGTTCTCTGTCAATCCTACCAATCTTTCAAAGCTAGGACCCAGAATTCACAAGGAAAAGAAAACAGGCACGTCATCCAAATTGGTCAGCACACAGTTGAAAAGAATGAAACACTTCACCTAATCCATACAATTAATGCCTGAGAGAATTGGATCCCCGTTTTTGAGAATTTTTATACAAAACACTATACATTTCTGAAGGAGCAGCAGGTTGAATCTCTCTTATGTTATTGCCCACTGTATCATCATCTCCCTTAACATATAAAGCTGCAAATATGGGGACGAACTTTTGAATCCAACGTTCCACTTGTCTTAGGATTTCCAAAAGCCCCTCCATTGTTCACTCTTATATTGAGAAACTCCAAATATTTATAGTACTCCCCTAGTCCTCAATATAGAAACTAATTGGGGATTTAATGTTGGTCATATATATAAGACCTATTTCGCATGTTTATTAATTTTTTTTCCAAATTAACCCTATTGATATTCCCTCAATAATGATCAAGTAGAAGAGGGAGAGAGAGAATTGAGAAAGATGCTTAGAATGTTTTAGAAAAAACATATCATATTAACTATTTTAACTAACTTCCTTAATTAGGTTTTACATTAAAGACTAGAGGAATAGTAATTTGGCCAATTGCAAGGCATGGAGCAAGGTAGAAGGTTCAAAAAATGTTCCCTAAAGGCAATCTCTTCCTTCAGTCCAGCCGAGTAATAGCCAAATTTATTTACAGTCAAACTTTCAAACACATTTTGATATTCCATCGCACTTCTCTTCTGCTTCAATTGCGTAAACTCATTCCACCTCGTGATATTTGATGATTCTCATTATTTGGTGAAGTTATACTGTTTCTTGTCACATATCCTTGGATTTGAATTGCCTTGAGGGTTCAGTTTGCTGAAGGAAAACCCCATAGAATTAGTTTTCTAAGCCATCAACTTGTTCATTTGTAGACAATAATACAGACAACTAGTCATCCATCAGTTGATTGCAATTGAGTGGCCTTTGACATGGCCAAGCAAGGCCAGTTCTAATACCACTAATAAGAACTCGAAGAAGGGGAAAATTTTTAGACAAAATCCATTAAAACCCAAAACGAGGTACATGATGGATAACCACCATTTGTAGCCTTTTTCCTGCTCGATTCATTTCTGCTAGCGGATTTTGAATCTTTACTTTCAGTGCATCCTCTCTACGCCCTCTCTAACTTTTGTTTTTCCAATTACTATAACTTTTAGTGCATCCTCTCTGCACGCTCTTTAACCTTTTTTTTCCGATTATTATAAAGTATTGTTTGTGAGAGGATGGAGAGAGCATGCACCAAAACTTAGCCGCAAATATTCAAAATCCTGTGCTAACTAATGGATATTTAGGATCATATCAGGAGAAAATAAGTTTTTCACATGCAAATTCCGCCATTAATACTACTACAACAACAGAAATCCAACATTTTGAGCAGAATTAGGGGGTCGATCGCACATAATGGTCTGCAGTTAGAATTTCCACAAACAGCCAAACTCAATCAAATAAATGCAACTTGACCATTACAACTGTTGAAATACAAGTAAAAATATATCAAAACTTAACAAACCTTGTCTTTCTCTTTAATGATGGTCATCAGGTGATTTTCACGTTGCTTGCGCCTCCTCCTCTCCTTCAGCCAACACCAAACCCGTATGCATATCCACCACGCCAATATTACCGTAGAAACCGCCGGCCCAATTGACAAGATGACACTTCTGTTGGAAGCAAAATTTCGATACGAATTAATCATCGCGAAAAGCTTCCAGCGTAAGGTCTTCAAGCCAATTCTCATCCACCCATTAAACCCATCAATTTTCTCTACCGGTGAATCAGACGGTAATGACGATGATATGCCACAAGCATCAGTATCGGAGGGTGAAAACGAAGATTCCGAACGAGAAAAGGAAGAGGAAGAAATGGAGGACGGCGAAGGTGATATCGAAATGTCGTCACACTGGTGTGACAATGAAGAAATGTGCAGGTTTTCATGGTTAACTGGCGGGAAGACGGAGCAGTCATTGTGTTGCCGGATGTCTCTGATAACCACCATTGAACAATCTCGCAACTGGGTTTGTTGGAGTTTTGATGAGTGGAGGTAATGGAGATTTGAGGTTAAGGCTTGCTCCGACTTCTCTGAACCATCCCATTGACGGTCATCCTCCATTATTACACCACCAGCACAACCACTCAATTTGGGAGCTTTTGAGCTTCGCAGCTATGGGCTATGGCTTTCCCTTTTCCATGAAAATGTTGATCCCATCTTGACCCTTCTCCGAGTTCTCATTCCCTGTTCTGGGTCAAATGGGACAAAACTGTAATTTTATTTTTATATCAAGGACAAAATGGTATGCGTGGAAAATAGGGGGAAATGGGAAATTAGTCTTAAACTGTCAGTCATGGTTGGGCCCATAGTCAGGCCCAAAGTCGGAATATTTTAGGATGAGATTAAAAATTCGAGTTGTTACTGCAACACACATCCAGACTTTGACAAAAAAGGTCTCAGTAATCAATTAAAGTGTTTCAAAGTTTGAATTAGATGATACAAATCCAGGTATTTTTGGAAATTTTATTAAAAAAATTCTTTTTGTGAAAAATACTTAATATAAGAGCTAATTGATTAATTTGAGTAGATTAAGAAAATTAGTTAAGTTAGTTTTTTATAATAAATAGATGTATTTCCTAAAACACCGTTACTAATTATGTGTAATAGCTAGAACTACCATTTGATAAAATTTTTAATTTGTGTAACTACTACAATAACTATATTAGGAAAAGGTAAATAAATAGAAGAGACAAAGTAAATTAAGATCTTATATTTATGACCAAAATTAAATATTAAACTAGTTATTATATTGAAAAATCGGAGATAGTATAAGGTGAGTCTCAAAGTCAAAATTGGATAACATAAATTCAAGTCTCAGTCATCATATTCATCATCCAAAAATAAAAATATTAGACTGGTTGGAGTGTTATCCTTCAAAGTCATAAGTTGAAGATAGGGAGACTCCTTTTTACCATGGTTGAATATGTTTTCCAGGTCAAGCTATTCAACACTTTATATGGAATAAATGACGCCAAGAAGATTCTCTGAGAGCTAGTCTGTATTGGATTATTCATTCATTCTTATTCTCACGTACATCGCCCTCACTCCACCTTTTGGTTACTGCAAAAGAGGATCAATCTCCACTGGCGAACATCGGATGAATCAAATAACCTCACTTCGTTAATTCTTTTGTTCTTGTGAGAATAGGTTTTAGTAAGAGTTTTTCCACTTGCATGTTTGAATTCTCTAAGTGTTGTCTTATTAAGTTTAGTTTGTACTCTTTCATTTTTAATATATTATCATTTTGATCTTTTTAAGGGGGGAAAGATATGCCTTCTTGCTAGAGGTCGAGATGCTATGTGAATTACATTCGCCACAGCAACCCTATTAAGTCAGCTTATAAATGTCCTAGTTTATAAGAATAACTCATACTACCTCTGTTTCTTAAAATAAAAGTTAGTTTGACTTTTAATTTGATTCTAAATATAAGATTCTAATACACTTTATCTCTCTCTTTTTTTTTTAAGATAATATTTGTAGTAGTTGTACATGTGAAATGTTTTATTACATGATAATTTTAGCTAATACACACGATTAACAAAAATATTTTTAAAAAATCATATATTTATTACTGATGATTAACTCAACTAATCTTTTTAATTTACTTAAATTAGTTAACTAACTCTTATATTAAGAATCGGATGTAGTATTATAATCTTATCTTACTTATTACTTATTAGATAGAAACCCAAATAAAATTTCGGGGAAAGATAACCCATAATCTAACTATCACTAGTACACCCAAACTCTTACCCAAAAAAAAAAGAGTTGATTGCTTAAAATGTGAAAAATAAATTTTGAAAATAATTTATAAATAACTTTTCAATCGTAATTTACAGAATATGAAATAAATAAATGAGTAGAGTTTTGTCTCGACTTATATGAATACTATCCCAAACACGTCTTATGTTGTGAATGATTTATTGAAGTTTTATGCATGATAGATAATATATTACAAGGTTTTTAATTAGTAGTTGTTTTACCATGATTGATGATTGTCATAAGATGTCTGGAAATTCAAGAATTCAACAATCAAACGTAGCAAATTTTTTAATTAATTTTTTTAATTTTCTGAATTCCTTCTTTAAACAATCATTCAATAAAATCTCAAAATCTACATGAAAATAAACTTGAAAATGACCCAAAAAGTATCCCGAAGATACCAAGAGTTTTGAAACGATTTTACCATTTTGACACTTTGGCGTCTCATTGTTCTCTGAAAAAAATTGCGTAAATTATAAACGCTTCGAGTCTGGCCAAAAAATAAACGCTTCGCGGCAAGAGCTCGCGGTGAAATGAGCATGACTCTGAAAAGTGAGAAGACGTACTCCAGATTTCTATCAAATGAAGACCTTACACGCGTACTACTTGACTGAAAATAAGCAATTCTAGTGGCTTGAGTGTCCGGGCACACCATCTAACCATGGGGCTATTAACAGTCAACCGTTGCCTTGTCCCCCCATGGTCGACTCGTCGAGTCCGTAATTCGCATCGCTCAAGGGAGCGAAAAGCTCGTTCACAAAATGCCAGTGTGATTAATTTTGCATTTTTGCTCCCTTTCGCTAGTATCATTTCTATCTGATGCATTAATTGAACTTACTTTTGGACGTAGAAGATTGAGACGTGGAGTTATAGCGATAGATAGAACGACCGATAGACAGGGAGAGAGAGAGTGGGAAGACTTGGTGGAATTTGGTCCGTGTATGAAACGAAGGACACAGGGTTGAACACCGATGCTTTTTCTTTTCATCCTTACCCTCTTGCCGAGACCTTCAAAGTTTCATTCTTTCAGCTGTCTTCGCTAGTCAGGAATCTTCATCTACTGCAGAGCTACTAAGTGCGGGCGCGCCTGTGCGCCCTTTGATCTTCCTTGAATGGCGGAGGAGGAATCGCCTTCGTCTCCTACTGTATTGAGCATGGAGGGTCTTGACGATGTGGAAGACTACGTTTGGTCAGTTCTTCTCCCTTTTGAGAGGTTTTTATGCGCTGATGAAATGTTGCAGAGAATATTTCAATCATTAAAAAAAATGGAGAGAAATTTCATGGACTGTAATTGATTTTGTATGTGCATTATTTGAATGCTCTTTTGAGACGTTGTTCGGCATATGATAGATTGAAACTAAAGAAGTGGAGGTTTCAATCACAGAAAAGAAAGAAAGAAAGAAAGAAAAGAAAAAGTGGGGGTTCTTGTTTTTCTCTAAACACGTGATTACAGTTCATGGCCCAAAAAATGTGATTAGAATTATCGGGTTTTGAAAGTTTAGGTTCCGTTTTTCCTTTCTTTCTTTTTCTTTCTTTTTTTTTTTTGACCGAACCATTTTCCCCTTTTTGAACCTCTGAAATCTTTCAAGTCCATGACCAAATATTGTAATTGTATTATAGGGGTTCTGCTTCGCGTAGATGGTTTTTCTGGTTGTTGGAATTGAGATATAAAAATGAACAATTGAAAGGCTTCCACTTTCCAGTATCCAAAGATCGCGCATAATATTTGTTCTTACCCAACATCTCTGCGCGGATTTTTCCTTCAAGTCAATGCCTTTTAATAGCTTCCTTTATTTTGGTCAGTTTACTGAGAAGAATGTGCTAAAAAGACAAGTTCTCTTGTTACCGTTCTTTCCCTTTCCTGTTAGCAGTTACTATTTATTAGGCGTTGAGAAATCCGAGGACAAGAAAAAAACAATTGAAAATGAGGGCCTTTTTTGCGCCATTTTTCTATTAAAGGAATCATAATTAAGGTTTCATGTGCGCTGCTCCAGGATTAATATACGTTATGGTTTTTAGTAAATGCTTCGTTTTGCTGATTGAATAATACTGACTGCTTAGTGTCAGCTGTTTTCAAACTTCCATAAGAAACGGAGAAGCTGGAAATATATCTGTTGGCCTGTGCACTTGGCATTGGCAAGATTCTTCTCTATTTGGCATAGGCGCAGTATAGTATTCATCTGTTCATGTATTGAAAAGTGGGGACTTGAGTGTTTTATTTTTCTTCTTACTGTCAATCCCAAGTTAATACAGGTATTCAGAAAACAGAATCTAATCATTTGCCCCCTTGCATATCAATAATTCATGATTTTTATTAATTTCATACTGACAAATCAAATGCACCAAAAGACTGAGCTTAAGTCAGATTTCAGGCATCTGAACCGGAGGGTTTGGCAAGGGAAACATACCATCATTTATATGAGCTTATGCAGAATGGCAATGTGGCATTTCGGGATGACCGTATGGAAGAGGTGATGCTTGTACTTAATCTTTGATGTTTGGAGAACTTCACTTATTTCTTTGACTATTCATTCAAATATAGTGTCTCGATATATATTAATCACTTGTCTTTTGTATTTCTTAACTTTGTGTTGAAGTTGAAATAGATATATATGTGTCACCTGTAAGGGAAACTGAAACAGAAATTGCAACAACAACAAGTCTTATATCACTAGGTGGGGTAGGCTATATAGTGGGATAAGGCTACATGAATTGCACGACATCATTATGCTTTATCAACAACTAAGTTTTTGGATATGTTGTTGATCTTGAGGTCTTGTTCAATGACCTCATTGAACGTTCTCATCGGTTTTCTTTGCCCTTTTTCATAGGACTCCTGTCCGATCTACCATTCTCACTAGCGCCTCCATTGGCCTATGAAACAGAAATTGAATTAAAACAAATTATCATGAATTTCAGTGATGAAAAAATTAAACTTGAGTTATGTAATGGGGTTAGCCTGTCCGAATGAGACTGTTAATCCAATTATTGTTGCTTTATGTGGAGAAATTTGGAAAGATTTATATTGGCAGTTGACTGTGGTCTTGACATTATTGTGAAGGTCTCATTTGCATGGGAAATAATAGAAGAATGGTTCTTGTTCTCCACCATCTAGCCACTATTTTTCTTCATGTAACTACATAGATTGGAATCTTTTTCATTTTCCCCCACCCTTCCTCATTCACATTATCTGTTTGTCCGTAGTTCACTTGTTAACACATTCCATTATATTCTTGTGGTTATATATCGGATGCATGCTAATATTAGGCTTTAGCTAAAATTTGAGAAAATCTCTACGCAGCTCCAAATATGTCTTCATTGCTTTCTTTTTTGTTTGATAACCTTTACAGAGTTCGATCATTGTATCTTTTTCTGGTCTGTTTTTTGAAAGGCCAATTCTTTGTGACAAGCCTTTCAAAATATAAGCAAGGCATTATCTTGACAAATTATTGATTGGCATTTCACTGCATGGTTAGTGTGGGATGCTCAATGTGGTGTTAGTTAAGTTATGCTTATGCTAGAGTTATGTGGCATTTTTCTCTGGTCCTTCTCTTTTGTTACCTACGACATGTGGTCTTCTTTCTGAAGAAGTTTTAGTTGTAACATTGCGAGGAAAGAATGCATTTCTCATGTGTTTTAAAGAGGATAACATATGATATTGAAAGTGATTCATTATCAATTAAAATATTTATAATGCTTTGTAAAATGTCGTTCCGGTGCTGACCTCTGAGACTATCCGTTCCAGGCGATCAACTTTTACTCTAGAGCAAATAGCATCAGGACTGGTGATCCAGTCATACTCAATAACCGAAGTGCGGCTTATATCAGGTTAAGCATAAATAACCTTGTGGCTTTTAAATACCTATAAAAATTTGTTTTTGTTGTGGAAAAATTTTGCTTGAATTTTGTTGGCTTCAGTGATCTTATGTCAATGATAATTTTTCCTCTCTTGTACAGAATTAGCCAATTTTTAAAACACAGACCTCCATCAGCTTCAGAATATAGTCCGTTGAGTGGGCTTGATCCTACAACACATGCTGAAGTATACTTTGATGCACTGTCTTTATCATGCTGAAAATTTTGAGTTTATAAATTGATTTTTACTTAGAAGTTAACAGCTGGCAACCATTTCAGCTTGGTTTGAAGGATGCTGAGAAGCTTGTCAACATCCGAAGTACTTCAGTAAAATCATACCTTTTGAAGGCCAATGCTCTTTTTCTGGTAAAGTCTCCCTTGTAGTTAATCTTCGTTATAGTTTATGGGAATTCCTGTCATTTATTGAGGCAATCATGTGGATGCATGCTTCTTTCTATCAGGTGGCAGTTGCTTGTTTTCCCATTTTAGGATATTTGTTTCTTGGGATGGAATAGTTTCTTAGTTGTGCTGAGCTAGCTGTATAAAAAGGCACTACTGAATCTTGAATGAATTGAAAATGTAGGGTTGTCCATAAGTGCTATTATAGTGATTCAAGAGTAATCAGTTTTTGACAATGGGAAAATGTTATAGGCATTGTTTGTTTGCTTCTTTTATTGGAGAGGCACTGTGAAACAAAATGGTTCTGTGGGGTGCTCTTAAATTTTTTTTAATAAAAAATGTGGTCCCTTTTTTGCATGGTAAACTATTGTTTGCAGATCTCCTATGGTTTCATTATGCAGAGATCAGTACATGACAAATTTAATACTGCTGTAACGCCAGTTGGTACCAAAGATGTTTCTTATATAGCACTGAGTGATTCACAAGAGACTATTTCACCATGCTTCTTTGTCCATAGTCATTTTTATATATATGCCATATCAATGATGTCACATTGACGTTGTGCTGCTTTGAGTTGACAGCTGGAGAAATATGAGATGGCTCGGGATGTTATTCTTTCGGGCCTTCAAGTTGATCCATATAGGTACTACAGATTTGGGATCCTTTTAATTTCTGTTCTGCATTTTCCTTTTGAAAATATTATGGAGATTCAGATAGAGCCTTTAGCGTTTGCAACAGTCATCTACTGAACTATATGTGTCATCTATGTCTGCCATTTGATTCTTTTCTGGTGTAATGTAGTAATTCTCTACGTGTGTCTCTTTCAAACCTGGAAAGAGCATTGGCTAGCTTGGCGAAGATGAGTAAACATGGACAGCCAGAGCGCTCTGATGACTTTGATTGCACTCTTTGCCTCAAGTTACTTTATGAACCTGTTACAACCCCTTGTGGACATTCTTTTTGCCGGTCATGTCTATTTCAGTCAATGGATCGTGGTTGGTACTTTCTGATGTTGATTTTTTTGAAGTGGGAGCCCGTATTATATATTAACTACATATTAAATCTGTTAACTTTTGTCTTAATTTGTTAGGCAACAGGTGCCCGTTGTGCAGGACAGTTCTGTTTATTAGTCCTAGAACATGTTCCGTGAGGTGGGTCATCTATTAGAGATCGTGACTTTAAATGCTTATACCAATTCATCAAACCACATAAAGGCCCTGGATTCCCGTCTTTTTATTTCCTTCTCATCAAACGTGGGAGTAGTCAAGTAGGGCAGGCATTCAATGATTCAAACTTCCATATTTTTAGGCCTGTACAGCATATATGTAAGAAATTACTTTATTGAGTGGCCTTTTTCCTTTGCTGGAAAGTTGCTTGCAAAACTTCTCCATGGTAATAATGTTGCGTTTTCCTAGACTCAAAATGACGGAAGAACACAGCAGTTTTCACATACCTATTTCAGTGAGTGGTGAAGGCCATTAAATTTTGAGTGTCTTTTTTACCCCTATAGCTGTGCCAAGCATAAATTAACAGGGTTACAAGAGTATGCCTTTGTGGATTTGATATAAGAAATCTGGGACTAAGTCTTTTTCCCCTGTTTTTATTATTGCTGTGAACTTTCCAGTGTGACATTGAAAAACATTATACAAAAGAATTTTCCGGAGGAATATGCTGAAAGGAAGCAAGAGAATGACAGTTTGAGCAACCTGGGCCTAGATTTGATCCCTCTCTTTGTCATGGATGTTGTCATTCCATGCCAAAAGTTTCCACTCCATATATTTGAACCCCGTTATAGACTGATGGTGAGTTAGTCTATTGTTGTTGATTGTTGTGGAAATTTGAATTTTAAATATATCTTGAATGTCAAATAAGTGATTCATATTTCTATGACTAATATCCTTGGGAAGTTATGGTGATGCCTGCTTGAGCAGTGGCAGGGGCATAAATTATTATTCAGGAGGAAAAATGAAGAATTCATTTTTCTATTTTTAATCAAGAGGATGTCCTGCTAATTTTCAGTTAGGAGAATGTTGATGTTTATGCGACAATAGCAGATCAGAGGACATATTTCTTGATGATTTATGAATGTACTCTTGTTTTTTTAAACTTAATTACCTTGTTGAATTCTAGACATGCTTCTTAGCAATGCTGATTAGCGTATAATGATACAGAGCACTGATCACTGAACTTGAAAACTTACAATAGCAGAAAAAGTTGAACTTCGATTTTCTAATTTAAATAACAGATCAGAAGATACATTTCTTAATAAATTAGGCATTTGCTGTTGTTTTAAACATTCACTTCTAGGCATATTTACGCAGGTTAGGGTAATTATAGAGTAGTGATCCCCTAAACTTGAAAGCTTATAGTAGCAGAAAAAAAAAATTGTTTTGAGTTAGACGAGGCCTTTTACTTGGCCATGGGGAATATTGATGGATGATATGGTCTGTGAAAAGTTTGTAATTTCTTTACAATTTCACAAAAGAACTACTGGGAGAGGGTCATTGGTAAATTACAGTTATCGTGGATTTTTAAAGTAATCCAATTTTTAGTGATAAATGGTGTTGATAATTAAATGTTTTGAATTCGATTTTATATATGATTTCATCATACTTGTTCTGCATTTTTCTAAAACAGGTAAGAAGAATAATGGAAGGAAATCGCCGGATGGGAATGGTAGATCAGCAATGGTCCTTTTTTGCCCATTTTTCTTTATTTAGGTATAATGGACTGACCGAATTCCTTTGTTTACTGCGCGGGGTTTGTCCATTCACCGTTTAGGTTATAATCGATTCTGAAGCAGATTCCCTGGCTGAGTTTGCCTGTGAAGTGGAAATTACTGAGTAGGTGCTTGGTTTATTGTTTCCTCAGAAAAGTTCATGTGATACATAACACTGACAAAACTCATGTATGCCGCTTATTTACAATGAATGATTTTTATATTTGATTTTATAGGTGTGAACCACTTCCGGATGGACGTTTCTATATAGAGGTGCAAATATAATTGTGATTTCTCTTCTCTTGTTATGATGCTTTATAGCATGTTGTGAGATGAAGTAAGGAAGTAAAATTTTCTATACTGCTTTCTACTTTTGAGAATGAGATGCTTTTCTTTAGTCTTTTGTGAAAGAGGTTCTTGCCGTATTTCATTCTCTATTTAAGAGCATTTGTATGCTGGATAAGTTATGGCTGAGCTGGCGGAGGTTAATCACAGGTGACCACATTCAGCAACAGTTTTTTGAAACTTAATACTACAGGCCGAGTGTTTATTTATACATTCTCATATGCTGCAGCAACGTAAACCTGAGATAACAATGTTTCATAACATTAATTATAGACTGGTTTGTCGTCGTCGTCATTCTTGTTTCACAGCATTAATCAGTCTATTGGGATTTTACAACTTCGAGAAAGAATCAGTCATATTAATATTTGACAAATCTTCACAGAAACTCCTGGATGACTGAAATTTTGCTTGTTCTAATATTATGTTGTGGCTTTCTGCGCAAGTGTAAGATAATTTATCAGAAAAATAGTGAGTTGAGTAACTTCAGTTTCAAGGTGGTGTCGCTTAACTATTTCACTCTCCTGGCTTGGTGTTATTAGTTCAAAGACACTTCTGAGGCTTCTGATGTTGATCTATATTCGCTTAAGTTCTACTTTCTTTTTAGATGTTTATTCAAGTTGTACATGAGTATAAATTGCCACTGCATGCAGATTGAAAGTCGTAGGAGATTTCGCATCATCCGATCATGGGATCAAGATGGGTAAGTTGTTATTAGCTTTTGTCCTTAACAAATTATATTGCTGCTGATCTCTGGACTTATAGGAACGTGTCCTTTATGCCTTTCTAATGTTTGTACTCAGGTATCGTGTTGCAGAGGTCGAATGGATTCAGGATATTATGCCATCGGAAGGTAGAGAGAGAGAAGATGTAAGTTTACTGGAATCTCGGCTCCAATTTATCTTTAGGCTCTCTGGAATGTTGGCGAATTTTGTACTGTTTTCTGAAGATATATCAAGCTTCAATTTTGATAGGCTTCTCATGCGATAGGCTGGTAATTTTAAGTAAATAACGCTGTCACATTACCTGGGCACTGGGGAGCATTTTGAATGTGATTTTTTGGGCTTATTATCTTGATTCATCAATATGTGCTTTATTTCCAAATTCGACGGTCTTGGTCTTGCTCTTGGTCTTGGAGGGGACAGGGAGCGTCTCTAGTTAATATAAACAAGCAAGAACCCGATATGTATCGTATTGGAATCAAGATATGGCAGAACCTTGCATAAAATCTTAAAATTTTCAATGCTTATGACTAAAATGGTCAAGCTCTCTCAAGTCTGATGGTGACCTGTATAGGAGGATCCCTCATTCTGATAAATTTCATCTCTATAAATTTATTTTTCCAGTTACAGGAAATAACAAATAATGCGGCAGAAAGTGCTCGATCATGGATCAGAAGGGCTAAAGAAGCAGCAGGACAAGGTAAAATTGCATTGTGATTCCCAAGGGATGTCTTAAATTTGGTGTTGATTGAAATTTTAAAATATATTTAATATTCTCCTGCCCCCTTCCTTTTTTAATCCTTACAATGGAATGCGTCAGTATTTAACTACAGAATTCCACGCAGATCAAAGACGACTCGAGAGACTGTTGAATGTTGAAGTGATGATGCCCCCGCTACAAGACCCTGAGCGCTTCAGTTTCTGGGTGCTTTTCGCCTTCTTTGCAATAAAATATATATACTACCTCTTGTTTTTAATATAAGAACCAATTGAGAATTAAATTTAGTCTTAAATATGAAGGCTTTAATTCACTTTGTCTTTTTTTTTTTTTTAAAATATCTCTATTGATTGCGAGAGGGCTCTTATCAAGAAATAATTCTAATCATTCATTGTACATGATGAAGAGGATAATTTAAGAAGATCAATACACATTTGTGACAAATAATCAACTTAATTAATTTTTTTAATATATTTAAATTAGTTATTGAGCTCTTATATTAAGGAGAAAATGTAGCATATATATAATTTGATATTCTGTTTTTCATTGACCCCTGTACTGATGTATGTTTGATTGCAGCTTGCTACCTTATCAAACCGGAGGCCTTCAGAAAAACTTGATCTTCTGCGCTTGAGAGATACCAAAGAGGTATACCCCTTTTTTTCATTTATTCCATTTTTCTGGTTGTTTTTCTCTAGCTCCAGATTATTGATATATCCTTGCTTGTTATTCTCCAACCATAATTTTCTGGTTGTTTCCTCGTAGAGGATCAGGCGGGGTTTGATATATCTGCGAGCTGAGGAACAAGGGTGCAGAATCCAGTAAATGGCAGGCTCACACTATTATGTAATGCCAGTTTTTATAGAGATATATATATATATATATATATATATATTGTTCCAAAGTCATTCAACATTCTTTGGCCTCATGAATGGCATTAATGAGGTCATTTTTGTTGTAAGTTGCCACATGAACACATGAAGCTAAACCCATCGTTTTTACTGTACTGTGATCAGACATTTTTTGAATTGTGAATTGTGAATGATAAAAAGTCATCTTTTGATCAAGAAAATGCTTGTGGTTATGATTTTAGCAGTTCATTAACTCCTTGAGTGTATCCTTTGCCAAACAATTTAGATAAGATTATCGATAGTAATTTTTTTATCATGTATTTAGAGAGAATAATGAAGAGCATGTTGCTACAAGACACTCCATGGTGGCCAAAAAAAAAACATACAGGACATTCCTACGTTCTTTATGCTTAATCTTATTATTCTTTTAATAATTGTAAGTATATTATATGCTTTCAATTTAATTCATATAAAATTCCCTATCTCAAATAATTTTGATTCTCTATATGTTTTTAATTATTTTATATCAAAGATAACTGTTTTTTTCTTCAAATATATACTAGTAGAAGTGTTATAATCGTTATGAGACCTGAAGTCTCAGTAACAATAAGATAGCTAGTAATAAGTTTCAATATAAGAAATGATAACTTCTTGCTTGTTATTGTAAATTTTTTATAATTTTGTTAGGACTTCATTGTAATTCTTTTTTATTATTATAAAGATTAAAATAAAAAACGAATTTACAGTTAAAATTGACAACTACAACGGCCAATGAGATCTTGGCGAAGATGTGGGGAAATACGGGAAGATCCAAGCATCACCAGCATCCTTATGAAGCAGGCCAGCGGGCTTGACAAGCACATTGTCTTTGCAACGGATTGTTGAATAAAATAGTAAAATACACATTCCTTGGCGAACAAACAAACCAACGTCCCAACTGACTATCATGAAACAGTTAAACAATCATCAGAAAAAGGAAAAGAACCATACCCCCAAAAAAAAAAAAAAACTACTTTGAACGATGTTTGTGGGGCTCAACGCATAGCTAGCTCCTTCTTCCACATTCCACTCATTTTTACCTAGTCTCCCCCCCCCCCCCAAAAAAAAAAAAACTCAAAACTTCCATCAACTACTCCTCCCTCTGAAAAAGTAAATGCTTTCTCACTCATTATTGGAGTTACGAAGACTTGCCGCCTTCTTGTTATGTTCCACCTCTGCAACCATTCTTGTTCTTCCAACCTGTCATCCATGTCCGTGTCCTTCTTCCTCCTCTTCCATGGCTTAGTCCTCTTCCTCGTTTCTCCGTCATCCCCCCACCACCGTCCCTCCGTGGTTTTCTTCCCCACAGAAGTATGGCCGGAGGGTTTATATCGGCGGTGGTAATTCACGGCCAGTCTTCCCTTCATCTTCTTTCCCTCTTCTGCTTCGTCGTCTTCCTCCTCCTCATTTCCCTTTCCAATGCTGCTTCAATCACTAGCCTGTTCTCGCCCCCTGTTAATTATCTGATTGATTGTGGCTCCTCGAAGCAGACCCTTCTCCAAGATGGAAGAACCTTCAGGTCTGATCGTGATTCCACTTCTCTTCTCTCCTCCGACGAGGACATCCAAACTTCAGTTGATTCCATCAATATAAATGCTTCCTCCTCGGTTCCTCCTACCTCGCTCCCTTTATTCAATAGTGCCAGGATTTTTACGGATAAATCCACATACACTTTCTATATCTCCAAGATGGGTCGACTTTGGGTTCGCCTTTACTTCTTCCCACTTCCTCATCCTTCTTATAATCTCACCCAGGCGGTTTTCTCCGTCCAAACTGATCGAATCGTTCTCTTGCATGACTTCTCTGTCAAAGATAATACCTCTTTTGTGTTCAAAGAGTACCTCCTTAATGTCTCCGACACCAGATTCTCCTTAAAGTTGATCCCCCAGAAAAAGTCTCTCGCTTTCATCAACGGTATCGAGGTTGTCTCCGCCCCTGACCCTCTTATCCCTGATGCGGCTACTTTAGTTTCCTCGCAAGGAGATTTCCATGGGATTTTTAACCATGCTCTTCAGGTATGTTACAGAGTTAATGTTGGAGGTCTACCCATCCTCCAAACCGAGACACTTTGTTAAGATCATGGGAGACTGATACTTCCTATAATGCATTCCCGCAATTGTCCCAGAATGTCTCTGTTTCGACAAAACTGATCAAGTACCCAGAAACAGGTGAGGTGACTCCACTGATCGCCCCTAGCTCTGTATATTCTTCAGCTATGGAAATGAAAGATCCCAAAGTAAACCAAGGCAATTTCAACCTCTCTTGGAGAATGAACGTAGACCAGAGTTTCTCCTACTTGATAAGATTGCACTTCTGCGACATTGTAAGCCAAAACCTTAGCCAATTATACTTCAATGTGTACATAAACGAGATGATAGGTGTTGCAAATTTAGATCTTTCCTCTGAAACCAAAGCTCTAGCCACTGCTTTTTACCAGGACTTCGTACTTAATTCTTCTGCTATTACAAATGGATCTATTTTGGTACAAGTGGGTCCCGCGAATCTCCAACAAGGGATGCCCAATGCGATTCTTAATGGACTCGAAGTGATGAAGATGAGCAACATAGCTGATAGCTTAGATGGATTTTTCTCTGTTGATGGGAAATACAGGGGTCCGAGCTCACGCACAATGGTTCTGAAAGTGGCTGCCGTTATTGGGTTAGGATTCTCTGTGACTGCGATGTTTCTTGTTGCCGTGATCTGTTTCCGATGGAGACGAGGCCTCGTGGATGGGAAGCTAGAGATAGCTTCTCGTCATGGCTTCTTCCTATTCAATCCACCCATCCTGGAAGTTTATGTTCTGCTTCAAGCAAAAGCAGCTCTAGAAGGTCAAGCATATTTGGTTCCCGCAAGAGCAAAAGCGGCTACTCTGGTTATTTAACACCAACCGGGATCGGACGTTTCTTTGCTTTCGATGAACTCCAAAAAGCCACAAATAACTTTGAAGAAAAAGCAGTGATTGGCGTCGGAGGATTCGGAAAAGTCTATCTTGGGACATTAGAAGATGGGACAAAGGTTGCCATAAAACGAGGAAACCCAAGTTCAGAACAAGGCATAAATGAGTTCAGGACAGAGATAGAAATGCTCTCTAAACTCCGACACCGACATTTAGTTTCCTTAATGGGATTCTGTGATGAAAACTCAGAGATGATTCTCGTCTACGAATACATGGCCAACGGCCCTTTTCGTTCTCATCTCTACGGCTCCAACCTACCTCCATTATCATGGAAACAAAGGCTTGAAATCTGCATAGGTTCCGCTCGTGGCCTTCACTATCTCCATACAGGCGCAGCACAAAGCATCATTCACCGAGACGTAAAAACCACAAACATTCTCTTAGACGAAAACTTCATAGCTAAAGTTGCAGACTTTGGGTTATCCAAGGCAAACCCAGAGAGAACCCATGTGAGTACAGCAGTGAAGGGTAGTTTTGGATACCTCGATCCTCAATACTTCAGAAGCCAGCAATTAACTGAGAAATCCGATGTTTATTCTTTCGGGGTTGTGCTCATGGAAGCACTATGTGCGAGGCCAGTGCTTGACCCGACACTTCCAAGGGAACAAGTGAATTTAGCGGATTGGGCATTACAGCAACATCGGAGAGGTATGCTCTATAGAATCATCGATCCTCGTATTGCCGAAACCATTGCCTCTGGGTCGTTGAACAAGTTCGTTGAAGCCGCGGAGAAGTGTCTGGAGGATAATGGGGCGGATAGGCCTACCATGGGGGATGTGTTGTGGAACCTGGAGTATGCTTTGCAGCTTCAAGAAGTTGTTTCGAGGATCGATACAAAAGAAGATACAACAGCGAGTTCGATTGCGTTACAACAGCCTAATGAGAGTGGCGAGAAAGGAGATCATTCTGGTACTCAGGCAACTGAAGAATCTGATGTGACCGATGTTGATTCTATGTTGTTCTCTCAGATTGCTCACTTCGAAGGAAGGTGAGGTGGCATGTCTGTGACGAGCTCCTTTAGTCCTCATAGATAAGAGAAGAGAACTACCTGCAAAATTTGAGATCAGTTCTTGAATGTCGAAATGCCATAATCGACCGTGAAAGCTGTGGAAGCTTTGAAGGTCTTGGGTCTCATGTTCCAGAATGGATTGGTGTATCATATGGTGATAAATGCAGTAGTGTAGGGAATTTTATGGGAGGGTATGTTGTGTATTGTGTTCTTTTTGTTATTTCCTTTTTTGGCCAGAGATATCACTGGATAGTGTACTCAGCTGTAAGAATTTGGGTTAGTTTCTTCCTTCATGAACACTAACCATTTTATTTGAATGGTTTCCATTTCAATTTTTTAATGCTCAATTAAAAGTATCGTTCTTTAAATTGGCAAATGAAAAGTCGCTATGGTTAATTTTATTTTATATTTCCATCTGAATAAAAAAATTGAACTACAAAACATAAGATTAAAATTTCATGGATACAACAACTTTATGGATATTTTTTTTCCTTTTGAAAAAAAATTTATGACTTATTAATGATAAAATGGCAAAGTTTGTTATAAATCTCATTTTATTTATTTATATATTCATTAAAGCTGAAACTGAATATGAATAATGATGTTTTTTCCAACCACAAAAAGAAAACTACCTCCAGTCCTCAATATAAAAACTAATTACCTAATTTAAAAAAATTAAGAAAGTTAGTTAAATTAATTATTTGTAGTAAATCGATATATCTTTCTTAAAATATCCTTATTAATCATGTGTGTTTGAATTATCTATTAGTAGTAACTTTATCATATGCAATCACTATAAGAATTACTTGATGGCAAAATACATAAATATTAGAGATAAATATATTAAGATATCTTTAAAACTAAATTAAATGTTAAGCTATTTTTATATTAAGAACATAGTACTTCCAGTAAATAAAAAGTTTACAAGTTTGTGAAAAACATTGCATTATCTTTTGGGCCGCATACCCAATAAATAAATTGAACATTTGGTCCGCAATTTGGGCTTTAACATGGGCCCAATCTTCAGAGCCCAATCTAGTATCTCAAAAATGATATTAACGCAACTAGCAGGGCTCAACCATGCCCTTCTCACCGACACCATCAATCTGGAAGATTCCGTGGCAAATATTATAAATAATGATATATATGTAGTCAATTAATCCAAACAAATTAATTATAGAGGCAGATTATATAATTGTCTAGTGGATTTTGGTTATTCCCATTTGATAACAAGCGTCTGCTCAAGTTTTGATTTTGCCAAATAAACAAACCACTCAATGCATGTCAAATCCTCTGAATCATTATTCAAATTATGGGTTTCCAAGTTATTGTAAGCAAATAAATATTTATATACTTATTATGACAGTTCTATTTTCATACTCTTCAAATTATTCCATTTCTTGCATAAACGACATGAGCTACGACTATTTTCAGGCAATAAGCATGAAGAAAGTAGAGAGTCAAAACGACAAATGCTTTTTGAAATTTCACCTTCCACCAAACATGCTTCATTTTTGTTTCATAATTGGGAAAGGGTTATTTTATCAATCTGAAACTCAGTTTTAACTAATTCACGATGGTTATGCTAGTACTCCTCTGGTCCTTAATATAAGACCCATTTAACTAATTTGATTAGATTAAGGAAGTTAGGTAAATTAGTTAATTATAAAAAAAGTGACACATTTTTCCTAAAACACCATAATCATCTTTCTTAATACCCCCTCCCCCTCTTCTACTTGATTGTGGTTGGGGGAGTATCCATAGGGGTAATTTAGAGAAAATTAAAAAATATGAGAAATGGGTCTTATATTTAGAACCAAAACCAACTCAAAAATTGGGTCCTATATTAAGGACCGGAGGAGTATTATATTGTGAAGAAAGAAAATGAAGCCGTGGGATATGGTTGTATTATTTTAGATTATCAGAAAGGCAGAGTTAAGTCTTTGACCATATTAAAAAAATAAGTCAGACTCTACCCAAAAAAAAAAAAACTAAAACACATGCTAGTATTTAAATTGATCATTCAGAATTGGAAACATTACACAAAATTCTTTTAAACTCTAAACCATATGTACATAACTCTTCAAATTTTAAAACTTAATAACCAATCAACCTAAACTTTTAATTTTGTACGAATAAATCTTAACAATGAATTATATATCTTCTTAAATCATTGTGTATATAACTCTTCAACCTTTTGAGTTATATGTATGTTTAACTATATAAATAATAAATAAAATGATTAGTATGAGATTTATTTTGCATAAAATAAATGTAAGAGTCCATATGGATTTATTGTAAATTTTAAAGTTTTTTTAAAAAATATCTACACATAACACAAAGTTCAAGAGAGTGATGTATAATTCCACCAAACAAACCGGACTAAATTAGATAATATTTAATGATAAAATAGTATTTTGGGGGCAAAAAAAAAAAAAAAAAGGCAACCGACACACCTTTTCTTGAATTTTGGGACGAAGGCAGAAATTAATTTGAGGGGAGGCATTATTTTTTTTTTTTTTTTTGAGCTGATTGAGGGGAGGCATTAAAAGTTTGTCAATTTGGAATGGATCACCTAATTACAATCAATTTTCAGTTAGAAAGTCGCCAAATATGTTGACATCTCACCAAGGCAAGCAAATACTAGGCCATATAATAGCCAAACAAGACCAAATTCTTTTTTTATTATTTTCTGAAATATTGTTTAAAAAAAAATTAAACTCTCTAACTCACAAAAAAATACGTCAGACTCCGTCATAAGGTCACCTTACCAGATCCACATTTCCCCACTTATGCCCAGCTCATTCTAAACACACCCACTTCAAGCTCAAAATGCCTCATTTTTAAATTTCGTGTAATGTGAGATAGTATACTGAGAAAATTGTAATAAGATCTCAATCAATCAAGAGGATTAAATATATTTTGAAGTCTTAAGAAATTTCATTACAAGAGATTTTATTTGTTTAATTACTAAATTGTTCATTTTAACTATGCATTAACAACTAGAAGGGCTGTTGTTAACAATTTAAATTGTAATGATTAATAATTATAGCGACAAATATTAATAACACATTTTTTCAACGCATCATAAAAACGTAATGCATTAGTTGTCAATATTTGCTGCGATAGTTATTAATCGTTACACTTTAAATTGTCAATACATACCTTTAAAAAAACAAAGGTAATTTGGTAATTAAACAAATAAAATTTATTATAATGAGGTCTTTTGGGACTTTAAACTAATTTGATAATTTCAAAGGACCTTTCTGTATTTAATTCTCTTGAATGAGACCTTATTAAAATTTTTCTTAGTATATTTAGTACTTAAATCATAGCCAAATAAAAACTAGTTAAGTTATTTATTTATGTAAAATGTGTGTTCAGTTTTTTAAAATACCCTTTTAAGTACTACCTCCAATCCTTAATATGAGAGCTAGTATAACTTTCAATTTGGTCATAAATACAGGACCCTGATTCGTTTTATCTCTCATATTTATCTATTTTTTTCAAAAAACGTCTTCGTAGTAGTTGCACATGTTAAATATTTAACAAATGACACTTGATTATCAAGGTATTTTGGGAAAAATAATATATATTTATTACAAATAACTAACTTATCTAATTCTCTTAATTTACTCAAATTGGCCAGCTAGTTTTTATATTAAGCACCAAAAGTAGTAATATGTATTAAAAATTACACCGTTGATTAAAAAAAATCCCTTCACATATACGAATAATAGAGAGAGTTTAAGCTAACAAGAGAGACGTCCAGTTGATAAAGAGTCAGTTTATACTCCACAAAATTGTGAGTTCGAATCTCACTGCCAATGTAAGATTTTATGAGTGGGTTTGAGGTAAAAATGTTAAGAAAATGTTACTTCTACTTTTCTCTTTGATTTATAGATATATTAATTTGTTCTTTGATTCATGATTTATTTAATTACTTTGACTCAATCGTATGGGATATGAAGTAACTGTATTTAAAAAAAAAACGTTACTGTTTGGCTAAATAAAAGAAATTTATTGGTTTCATTTTATTTTTTTATGAAACGCAATAAGAAAAGTAAATATAAATATAAATCAATGAAAAATGTAGAGTTATACATACTCATTTTATCATAGTCTATGTATGCGTACAATAATTTGCAATTAATAATTATTAACGTTTTACAAATGTGAAGTGATTTTAAATTAAGTCTACCCTTTGTAATGACCAGATATAGCAAGGGTGAAGGGTCCCTTTAATCTAACTATTATTGATACAAAACAAGATAGCCCCCATTTTAATATGCATTTTGATCTGTCCTTTGCATAACTACTGTTGTTGTTGGTGTTATATTATTATTATTATTATTATTGTTATTGTTATTGTTATTGTATCTTGGAAGCCAAGAATAATAATAATTGAGGCACCATGTGAAAAGTACCCAAGTGACCTGCCATATGGAGCACGCATCACAAATAATTATAAAGTTCATTTTATGATATGAAATCTTTGATTAAATTTTATTTTTTTCCCAATAATTGTTTTATTTCAAGGTATCATTGACGCAAAATGAAAAATGGAACATATTGATAAGTGGGCAATGATAAGAATGATCCATAATTTTTTTTTAATCTTATGATTCAAGTTAAAATCGCAGCAGCAATAACAATTCATTAAATGAGATTGGTTACATAAATCACATAGTATTATTGTGTTCAACCAATAATGAAATTTTTAAATACATTGTTAACTAAATAATTCTGCTCTATAAATTTTTAAAATTGAATTGTTAAAACCACTCTTGAAAATATTACTGCGCACACGAAATTACAACAAATCCACATGAAATATCATAAACAAAACCTAACTCTCTTTTTTTTTTAAAAACCTAAGCGTTGACTAATTCCATGTCAAGTTCATTTTTATTGTATTTGATGGTTTTTGACTTCTTATTCCTGCTCCCTTATCTAGTACTACTGTGAATAATTTTATTATTTGGCGGGATGGCTTTTAAAACTTTTAAAGTCAACTTGATCAAAACTAAAACCATTTCAACAAATTTTTACTTGAAGCATTCCATTCAATTGGATTTTTTGAAAAAATTTGCAGTATACTTGAAGATAAAAAGCATAAAGATGCAAGAAAGGTGGGGCACATTGAACTGAATGCTTCATTTTGTGATTATTTTTTAAAATGTACGTTACTTGGACCTGAAAAATACTGTAGCCACCAATTCTAAGTCTATAGCTTAAAGTGCATTTTAAGCTATCCTTTCTCAAACAACATACAGGGACTATAATACTTGACATTCATAAATATGTTGGCTTATTATTTGAAAGATTCTTTCTTTTTAATCTTGGACTAGTTACTAAACAATATTTAAAATGCATATCTTTCAAATTAGCTGGGTGTTTAAGTTCTTTTAGAGCACTCCAGGAAAAAATCACGGACCAAATAGTAAAATGAAAAATGCACAATCTTTCTTCACCTAATGGATAAACTCCCTTAAAGTTTCATTCATAATCTGGAGAAAAAGGACCTGAATAGATATATGCAATGAATGATTGAATTGAGTGCCCGCAAAATAAAAATCATAAATGATAAAATGAATCTGGTATGACTCATTGCGGAGTCAGTTGATAAATTCTCAAAAATTCCACTTCCATACCAACTTCATTATTGCAGTTACAGAAAGAGTAAGAACAGGAAAGGGAGGGCTGTGTTGTTTGTCTTGTGTAAAGCTAGCGGGTGAGGATTCCTATAACCCACAGGATACTTCCAAAATCTTTGGTGAAAACTATGTCCAAACAGCCCCATTCCTTTTTGCCATTTCTTCGTGTTGCCAGCCAACACTCCTTATAATCCCCTTCTCACAAAACTTCACATTCCGTTCTAGAAATTCTCTCTTCTTCAAAACCTACTCTGAAGTTTTCGTCTCTCTCTCTCTCTCACATCCAATTCCGATGGATTTTGCAGGCAAGATTCTCAGAAGATCAGTTCATGGTTTCCTTCTGAACTATCACTATTTCACCTCTGTTTCTGCTTTCCTCGCTCTTCCGTTTTCTGCTTCCATTCTCCTCTCTCAAGCTTTTGTCCCTTCCTCTTCATCGCTCTTTCCCCAAATCTCCAATCGCTTGCAGACTCTGTTCGATGCTGCGGGATTCCCTTCTTCTTCTTCTTCAAAAATATTTACCCTTTTTGGCCACAAGGCTTCAGAAACCATCGCTTCCATAATATTCATCCTTCCCTTTACCCTCAGCTTCCTCATCATCGCTAAAGCTTCCATTTTTGAGGCTCTGAAACAACCCCACAGGCCAGCTTCCTCTGCTTCTTCTTTTACTTCCATGATATTTCTGTACAAGCCACTCCTAAAAACCTGCATTAGCAACTCATTGTTGGTTATTTCTGCCATTGCAACATCGTATTGTCTTATGTTTTTTGCCTTTGGTGTCGTCGAAGGACTGGACGACACTTCCCCTGATACCCTGTTCTTGGTTACAACATGTGGGGCGGTTATCTTCTCTGTTCTTTTAGCCAATGCACTCGTCATCAGCAGTATGGCGATGGCTGTGTCTGGTATGGAAGGACGTGGAGGGTATTTAGCGATTCTTAAGGCTTGTGTTCTTTTAAGGGGAAGAACATCAATGGCTTTGCTCTTGGCTCTGCCCATGAACATGGCTCTGGCCGTCATTGAAGCCTTGTTTCACTTTCGGGTCGTGAGAGCGTATCGTGTTGGTGGACGAGCAGAACCTTCGATGGCTTTAGAGGCTATCTTCATTGCTTACTTGTACTCAATCTTCATCGTCCTTGATACTATTGTGGCCTCCATGTTCTACAGAATTTGTAAGACGAGGTCACGGATTAATGATGAAGATGGAAAATTATTGGTCAGGATTGAGATCTCAGGGGAGGACAATTATGAGTTCGAGAAGACAAGAATTTCGAAGAATTGCCTTGAAATAAGGTTAGGATCATTGAACTAGTCATCGAGGATGTTCTGTTCTGCTTCTGCAATCTTCATGGCTATGTGAAGGATAAGATAGGGATGATGATGATGATTTTTTTTTTTTGTTATTATTATGAATATAGTATTAAAAAAAAGGTATGTATAGGAGGTGTTTGGGTGCAAGATTTATTTATGCTGCTGGAAGGAAACGGACGGAGCAGCGTCGTAAGACATAAAAGAGTTTGGCTATGTGGAAAAAAACGCAGAAGCCAGAGATTTAGAGTCACCATTCTTATTGATTTCATTGTCTTGTTCTTTCTTGCATTCTTGGACTCTCGTCTTCTCTGGATTTTTATCTTGTAAAATGGCAATCCTTTATGTTAAGAGATAGGCGTCCAGTGTATTGATGTATTGGGCCGTAAGCCCATTATGGGTTCATATCTGCTGTATAAATATTGATCGATTGTTCAATAATAAACCGATTGGTATTTTCCACCAAGTCCAGTAACTTGTTTAGTTCTGTTTCACATGGTACCAGAGCGTCAGGTCCAGTGATTGAGCCCGTTTGCAAGGTGAAAGTCGAAGGCCCCATTGCCTTCTCGCCAGAAATCATCACCGTGTTGGCAAAAGTCGAAGGCCCCATTGCCTCCTCACCAGAAATCATTACCGTGTTGCAACACAGTCGTTTCGGCAACACCATCTGCAATACCCGAAACCCAATCTGTGATCTAGCAGGGTTTCTCATTTTGTTCTGCGTAAGAGATATTGATATCGGCGCTATCAGTAGTACTCGGATCATCAAGAAAGGTCCGTGACTGCGCCATTTCGGTTGCTTCTCAACAAGCCAGATCACAATTTTAGGAACCGCCATCACTGAGACTCTGAAGATTCCCGCGATTACACCGCTGCCATCTGGTGCGCAGGTGAGTTTCAATCTTCCTGCATCTCCTCAACCAATCTTTCTGCGTCTCCTCAATCAAGACACATCAAGATTCCATGATCTGTCATCACTGAGATCCTGAAGACTGCTACGTTTCTGATTGTTTTGTCATCCGCTGCGCCAGTGATCCACTTGCAACAATTTTCCCAGAATTTCACTTTAGTTTTACTGATCGTAAACACGTTCAAAGATTATTCAAGAACCTACCATGATGAGTGAGAAGTCGACTTCCAACACTTCAGTGATTGATGCAAATCATCCACTCTTTCTGCATCCCTTAGATACCCAAGCCACCACCTTAGTCTCCCAAATCCTCACCGGCTCCAGTAATTACGTTATTTGGAGCAGAGCCATGCGCCTAGCATTACAAGGCAAAAATAAGCTGGGTTTCATTGAGGGTAGTTACACTCGGGCAAGTGAATCGCACCATAAGGAACAGTGGGACCGCTGTAATGCGGTAGTTCTTTCCTGGCTCATTAATTCTGTGGACAAGGAAATAGCTAATGGTATTGTATTTGCTAATGATGCACATGCCGTGTGGGATGATCTCAAAGAAAGATTTCATAAAGTTGATGGTGCCAAGATTTATTCTCTTCTGAAAGCAATTTCTTCTATAATTCAGGGGACTATCACGGTATCTGCGTATTATACCAAACTCAAAGAGTTATGGGATGAATATTCGTTGTTAGTACCCTTACCTACCTGCAAGTGCGAGACTGCCAGAGAATATATCAGAATAGTCCAGCAGCAACGTCTTTTCCAGTTTCTTATGGGATTAAACGACAATTTTCAGCAAGCCCGGTCACAAATTCTTCTTATGTCTCCTTTACCGAATGTTAATCAGGCATATGCCATGGTGTGCCAAGATGAAGACCAATGACTTATATCCTCACATCAATCATATAACCCATTTGAGGCAACTACTGCTGCAACTAGAGGAGGGAGACTAGGTAGAGGACGTGGCAGAGGAAGATCACAAGATGAGTGTAGTCACTGCCATCGCCGGGGCCACAAGAGAGAACAGTGTTTTGAGTTGGTGGGATATCCTCCTAACTTCAAAGGTCGAAGGGTTCCAGCGCCTCAATTGAACCAAGCAATAGCAAAGCCCAAATCTAGTTCATCTGCAACTTCAGCAAATCTTGGGACACAGCCCTCCATTACACAGCAGCAGTATAATAAGATACTGCAACTACTCAAAACTGATGCTAACGAAGAAGTAATCGGCACGGCTAACTATATTGAGGAACACATTTCTGGTAATATTAATGCACTTTCCTCTGATCTTTGCAGAACCCATTGGATATTAGATTCAGGAGCATCGTGTCATGTTGTTAGCAGTCTTACTATGTTAGATAATGCTATAGTTTATTCTGGACCCCTTAGAAAAATTAGGTTACCAAATGGAGATAAGATCACAGTAACACATACTGGCACAGTAAAACTTTCTGCTAACATTATATTATCTGATGTTTATTATACTCCTGCATGTTGTTATAATTTCATTTCTGTGTCTAGATTAACTAAGGACCTACAATGCATTATCTCTTTTTACCCTGAGTTTTGTACATTGCAGGAGATTTTAACTGGGAAGTCTCTAGTGATTGGTAGAATCTGTAGTGGACTGTACTTGATTGGGAAAATTTTAAATTTGAACAATGCTCTTATGAATTTTCAGTCCAATGGGACAAAGAAGGAGATATCTCAACTGTGGCACTATAGGCTAGGGCATGCACCTTTAGAAGTTCTCAAGCATCTAGATATGATAAAGAAAGATATTATAGATTTTTCCAGTCCCAAATGTGATGTTTGTCCTCTTGCTAAGCAAGCAAGACTCCCTTTTTCTCATTCTATTTCTGTTACTTCTTGTTGCTTTGAATTGATACATGTTGATATTTGGGGTCCCTATAGGGAGCCTACCTATAAAGGACAGATATTTTCTTACTATTGTTGATGATTTCTCCAAATGTACTTGGACTTTCTTGATGATCAATAAAAATGATAGTTTTCAGCTGCTGTTAAATTTTATGACTTATGTTAGTACCCAATTTTCAGCAATGATAAAACGAATAAGAACTGACAATGGGTTAGAATTTACCAACAACAAACTGAGAACTGTTTTCACTGACAAGGGTATTATTCATGAAACAACCTGCCCATATACACCACAACAAAATGGAGTAGTTGAACGTAAGCGTAGGCACTTACTTAATGTGGCCCGAAGTCTTCTTTTCCACTCTGGTATTCCAATTAAGTTCTGGGGAGAAAGTATTAAAACTGCCTCTTATTTGATTAATAGAACTCCTTCAAAAAGTTTGCATTACAAAACTCCCTTTGAGCTTCTATATCAAAAACAACCTGAGGTGAATCATTTGAGAGTTTTTAGCTGTCTTGCTTTTGCTGTTTCTTAGAATAATCTTGATAAATTTCAACCTAGGGCTGAGCCTTGTATTTTTATGGGCTATCCTGTTAGTCAAAAGGGATTCTTATTATATAACCTCAAAACAAAGATTCTGTTTGTAAGTAGACACGTCAATTTTGTGGAAAACAAATTTCCTTTCAAAGATGCCTTGTCTGGTACTTCAGAGAATGGAATTGGTAAATCTGTTTCAGATTATTTTCTGTATGATGAAGATGTTCCTGTCCAATCTAGTTCCACACAGACCAATGTTACTACTAATCCTAATATTATTGACTATAATGATCATGGTGATGAAGTTCATATTGATCCTGAACACCACATGGAAGGGTCACATCGACCAAGCAGGGACAGAAAATCCCCTGCTTGGCTGAATGACTATATTTGCTTGGGAGATGTAGTGACTGCCAGGCAGAAGACTCTCAGTCAGTTTATGAGTGCTCCACGGAAATCTCATATGGAGGTGGCAACACGAGTTGTGAGATACTAGAAGGGCAATCCTGGATTGGGAATATTTCTTGCTGCAACAAGTAGAACAGACTTAGAGTGTTATGTAGACTCTGATTGGGCAGCTTGTCAAGATACAAGAAGATCAGTAACTGGGTTCATAATTAAATTTGGTGGGTCTCCAATCTGCTGGAAGTCCAAGAAGCAGCCCACAGTGTCCAAGTCCTCAGCTGAAGCAGAATATCGAGCTCTAGAATCAGCCGTTTCTAAAGTTACATGGTTGACACGTATGCTCAAGGATCTGGATGTTAGAGGAGTTGAGCCAGTGAAGGTTTATTGTGACAGCAAAGCTACAATTTATATTGCAAGCAATCCCGTTTTCCATGAACGCACGAAGCACATTGAAATAGATTGTCATTTTGTGCATGAGAAACTGCAACAGGGAATCATTGATTTGCAACATGTTAGTAGTAAGAATCAGTTAGCAGATGTCTTGACAAAAGCTCTAGGTAGTGAAGATCATGAGAAATTGATACGCAAGTTAGGTGCTGTTAGCTTATTCAGCCCCCAACTTGAAGGGGGTGTTAAGAGATAGGTGTCCAGTGTATTGATGTACTGGGCTGTAAGCCCATTATGGGTTCATATCTGCTGTATAAATATTGATCGATTGTTCAATAATAAACTAATTGGTATTTTCCACCAAGTCCAGTAACTTGTTTAGTTCTGTTTCACACTTTACAATGTGAATAATGATACAACACACTTCTGTTCATGCGCTTTTATTCTGGAAACACATGAACTTCTACACAAGCTGTATGAGCCTCGCTTTTCTTTTCTTTTCTTTCTTTTTTTTAAAAATGAAATACACACAAATATTCAGCACACACACAGATACACACACACACATCCGAACACGCAGGCGCAGATTTAAACATGTGACCTTTCTCTCAAAACAGAGAGTCTAGTGCCATTGGACCCAAGAATTTTTGACAGTGTCTCGTTCTTTCGATCTGACGGTGTATTGCACACCCAGAAAAGGGACAGGATTGGTCCCTTAAAAAAAATTAATATAATTTTTTATCCCTAAAATTTGAGCTCATTTTGGTTTTAGTCTTTAAATTTAAAACCCCTGGTTTTAGTCTCTGAAATTTAATATGTCTTAAAATATTAGTCAATGAAAATGAATGGCATTAAAAACTACTGAAATGTTGTGATGTTAAAAATGGTAACATAGACTCACTAAATAATATCTAACAGGGTCTTATGTGGATAATAAAATGCAGCACAGTGAACAGCTTCTCTTGAAAATGAGTAGTGATGTAGCAAAAACAGAAGGCTAAAGAGCTACTCCTTTTGTCCTATTTATAGGGTAGAGAGAGAAGGTATTTTTTGGTCCTATTTATAGAGCATTGAGAGAAATATTTTATATAGATATATAATTTTACTCCTCATTTATTATTGTGTTGATTTTGTTTACATGAAGTATAATATATATTAAACAGGAATAAAGTTGAAAAGTTATTAAATTTTAAATAAGAGTTAATGAAGCTTAAGGTTTTTTTTTTTTATCTATATAAACATGCCGAAAGTGTGTTATAAATAGGACCAGAAGAGTACGTTTTAAGGATCTGTTCTTTTTTCTCTTATTATTCACACAAGATCCGGTTAGCTTCACCACTCTAACACAATTTATGACTTTATATTTTCAAACACTAACATTTTAATACAGAATCAATTCTAGGGACTAAAATCATGGGTTTAAAATTTGAGAGACTAAAAATAGAATAAATCCAAGTTTCAAGAACAAAAAATTATACTACTTTGGTCTTAAATATAAGACCTCTTTTGTAATGTAAATTATACTATAAAAGAGATCTTATATTTAGAATCAGAGCAGTATTAACCAACCAAAAAAAATGGCAAGCAAAGCTTAGAGAACCAAACCGAAACCGGTCGCATCCAAACTTAACTATCTTCATCCTCAGCAAAAGCATTCTGATATTTCAAAGGAACATCTTCAGAGGAGAGAATTAGTTAAACACGGCAATTAAACTTCGTATAGTAGGATTCTTCATGTAAAATCAGATATTAGATTAACTTTCTATTAAACTCGAGTGTTCGTGCCAACATTTTGATGATTGTATTAATCATTAAACTGGAAACCATTAAGCACATGATTTTTCAAATATATCAATTCAAATTACCCGTAAAAGTTAAACTAATTTATATCTCTGGTATAAAAGCATCTAATATTGTTCAAGGGCACTTTGTGTAATTCAAGTCGAAGCAAGTAAAACCACACGGGCAGTTAAACTCTCCTTATAAGCGCGGGCATGCACACATATTAATTTGGTTATTTATAATTTTTTTATACGCAAGACTATGCACTATAACTAACAAACTCTGTCCATTTGATTCAATTTTCGTTGGTATTCTATCCACGCACAAAAATTCGTTTGACTCATTTTGAAGCACATCGAGTTATAGTTCAAAAAACTTTTTGGAATAGATAAGATTGATTGAGTTGCTTGTTTTTTAATGATTGAACTACTTGAAGTAGAACCTGATACGGTTAGATATACACGTGCATGTATTTTGCTTTTAATGTGCATTGTAGAAATATGAGAGGTAAGAGATGGAAGTATGTAAATTACCGACTAGGGGGAGAGATGACAATATGAATGAGAGCGAGGGTGTCCCCAAGGACCCTAAAGTCAAAACTGAAAAGTTTGTGCTTAGAGCCCCCCTTTGTTGGGTAAGGGTTAAGGGAGAGGGAAGCGACATGATACAAGGAGTTGATTTGTTCATTTGATAACGGGCCGCTTGCACAAGGGCATGAGGAGTGAATAAATACGGGAAAAAAATAATGTTAATGAAATGTTTGTTTTTGTTGTCACCTTCCTATTTCATTTTTGAATGATGCAAATTTATTTCTTTTATGAAATTTCAATAATTTTATTTTATAGTAAAACATAAACATGATAAAACAGTCTTCTAGAAAGTTTTAGAAGCTGTTGCCCTCTCGAGTAAAAACTGAAAAGCCATAGAAGTTTGCTGAAGCTCTGAAGAGTCTCGACCCATCCCTCATTAGGTAACCTGATTCATTCACTCGAATTTTAAGAAATTATAATCCCAAACCGTGGAATCTGCTTGTTCTATTCAGGAACAAATTCGTAGGAAGCAGCATGAAATGTGTCCTACAAACCAAGCATGCGCAGATTTGAAATGAATCCAAATCCAACTAAACAGGGCCCACAGGATGAACCATTTCGTTGAAGAGTCGGTGAGCGAAACACACTTCTAATAGACCCTGCCCTCTCTCTATTTGCAAATAAGAACCGATAGTAAAGTGTTAATCACCAATACCAAATATAAAACCTGTGACAAAGCACATGATTCACAAGCCATAAACACCACCACATATTTATTGAACTCCATACAGTAAATTATATCTAGTTAATAGAATTCTGGAGAATATTAATGTACCTTGATAAGCACCATGTACCCGTGACAGTCTCAAAAATTCGATGGTTTGGCCGATCAATGATCACAGGAATCGATGAACAATCTGAATTAATGCACCTTGAGGAGTCTCATAATGTATGACGGTGTTGCCATTTCGGCCCTAGGGAAAAAAAGCATACAACCAGAGATGTAAGAAGCATAAATACCTCCGGACAGCAATGGTGAAACTCGCGGATTTCCTGTCTGAATTTGGATTTGTCTTTGTAATCATCAGTGAGTCATCTGGTCCAGAATGCTAAATTTCAAAAACCCTTTACACTTCACAAAAATGTATTTCACAAGAAAAAAGAAGAGAATCATCTAACTCCGCCTGCTCTTCACTAAATTACAGTTAAAATACAGAGATTTAGCCCCTAATTTCTATTCTAAACCCGATTGCTATACAACATTTCCTCGATTGTATCCTACGAAAATCTATCAAAATGAAAGGAAGGAACTAATTTCTATGTTACATGAAAAAGAATTGAATCCTAACGAAGAGGGTTAGCACTCTGTACAAAGTTCTTCGATACTACACTACCACTGATCGACTTCAGTACTTCACAAAACAAAGCATCTGCTCTGGCGCTGTATGATGGAAGTCAGAGGCAGTTCTTCTGCAATGGAAGCCGTGTTCAATCTTCAATACCACAAAATTTCTTCTTGAAATGATTCACGAGGGACCAGATCCATCGCCTTTTACAGCATTACAGCATTTGCCGGATGCTAAGGGCATCTCCAGCAACAACAATAAGCACCCATTGTCTCAAATTTTGATCTTTCCAGTGTGTTCAAACACAAAGATCAATAGGCCATAAGATTCTGGTTGTCAAAGAATCAATGCCTAAGCCTGTTGGATGATTCAAAGGTCTGAAGCTGGCAAGAAATTGCTTTTCCACCTTAATACATTACCTTGCCACCGCAAGGGCAGACCTCTAGCTCTTTTGCAAGAGCATGATGTCGGTGCAGAGGAGCAAGCAGCCAGTTATCAACTACCTTGCATTTTTCTTTGTCAAGTTAATGCCCTTAGCCTTCTCCATTTCAGCCTCTTTCTCAGCTTTCTTCTTCTCTAACTCTGCTTGTTTGCAATTTTCTTCATGTGCTTTCCGAAACAACCTTATAAAATTTAGGAGAGTTGCAGTAACTGCAATCAACAAACCAGAAACAAGTAGAAATCAGCCTGAGAATTCCAAAGGAACAAATCACTACTTTTAAGATGATGAAACTTCATTCTGACAAGTCCTGTAGGCTTTCCTCTCCATATATCTTATTGCACATGACTATTGTCTCTTCCTCACCTCTCTCCGTCTTATTCCAATTGTTCACAGCACTTACACAAGGATCCAAGAAGGGCTGTCTTCCTTTTTATTTTCAAAAAAGCTACTCAATCTGTGCCCAGTCTAAACACTCGAAGAGGTAGGAATATCCTTAACTCTAAGTTAAGAGATCCCAACTTAGCCCAAATTTTAAGAAAATTTACACTGGTCACAAACATAGATGCAACAGACAGAGCTCATGGAAATCTAAAACCACAAGAGACATTAGTTCAATGTGCTATAATCCAATACAATTGAAATCATTACTACCAGAAAAAAGGGGCGCATGTCAGACTAACAACACGGCCAAATATTAATCCTTAACTTACCTTGCTCAAATGGACAACGGGCAGGATCCTCACCAAAATAAAGTGCTAGTGCATCTGCATTTCTACCCTGTCCATGGACAAATAGATGGTCATCCTCTCTCTTTAAAACACAGCATAATGTGCCAAAGGGAAGGTTAACATATTACCACCACAGAGTATAAACTTGTTACAGATGTCACCTCTGACTCAGCACCAATAACAAATTCTTTTGATGTCTAAAACAAACTAAAAATCAGTCAAAATTGCAGGAATATAAGCCAAACAAGAAACGATGTTAAAGTAAATGTATCAGCATAAAAAACAAAAGAGATTCTTCCATTAAAATAAAGGTAGACATTTTTGCAGAAGATTCCCTTTTTTCCTTTCTTTTAACAATAATAAAGGTGATAGTGATAAACAAAAGTTCTAACATATAGTAGAAAGTTTAAACGGACAAATACGCTAAGTCCTAGCAATCAGTGCAAACTAAGACCTAAAAAACAAGCACTTAAAATCTAAAGTTGAACATGATAAGTATTTTCTTCTATTCATAGTTAGTTACGTGCAAAATGACAGTACAGGTTTAATTTAATCGCTTCACCACCACCGTAGTTAAAACTTGGAAGCACATGAAAGTGTCTTTCTGACAAGGTAAGTGATGCAGATGCCAAATTTTATTAATCTAGTTTTGATTTACACAGGATTCTAACTCAAGAATTTGAATTTCCTTTTATTTTGAAATGATTGGTATCAAATTAACTATATATTTGTTAGGAGTTTTAGTTTAGTTAAAATCTGATTTCCTGTTAAACTTTTGCAGCCTCTGTCTATAAATAGGACTACTGGACTATTGTTTTATTCACTCCTTTCCAATTGATTGATATATTTGGTATTAAGTTGATTTCAGATGGTTCTTAAGGAGTTTCACCATCAATTCTACACAAAGTCAAAAACTACAGAGTTAGCAAGAGTTTCCCACTCCAGTTAAACTTCAGGCTTTTTTTAAGCTTGAGTTTCATCTAGGACTTTGCTGCTGAATCCAAGACCTAGTTGGGACCACAGAATCCCCAACCACCAACTTCCCTTCACTTTTTTATTACAATTTTGTTTTTCTGATTTATTATGGTTTTTCAAACCAATCTTTTCCTTGATTAGATTGGGGAATATTAATACCTAATGCACCACATCTTGACATATACTAATATACCCTTCCCTAATATTCAACAACAGTATCGGCCTTTCACCCTTTTGCGTAGGCAATCAAAACTTTTTTTTTTTCAAAAAAAAAAATGGAGGGGGTTTTAAACCAAAACTGAATTAGTACGATTAGAGATACTGTAAACCAATTATAACCAAGAACCTAATGGGGCGAGTGCTAATCTATCTATCTAAACAAGAAATAACAATGTGTAACCAAAAGTTTAAATCCCGTGATGATGTTAAAGTCACATTAATATAAATACTTTTAAAAAAAAAAATTCATGGCGCAGGAAATCAGCATATAAATTCATTCCAGTTTTCTTTCAAAAATATTAGTCCCTTAGATCCCCCACCCCCCCCAAAAAAAAAAAAAAAAAAAGTTTTCCCCCTAGTATATGAACCATGAAATAAGACTAAAAAGCCAAACACCTTGCGGAAAACTTCAGATACAGGTCCATCGTTTTCAGATGCAGCAAGCTCCTGCCTGACCTTTTCTAATCCCTTGATGATTGCCTGCATCTCTTCAGCTAACGACTTCAATTGTATCTGCAAGGTGATTTACTAATAAATATACAGAGAAATCCAACTATCCCGACCTGATAGTCAGCATCAAAACCATTTTTCTGTGACCAAAAATAAATCATCACCTTAGTAGCAGCTTCCAGGCTGACTAGGTCCAGGTGAAAATCAAGGAGCCCAGGTGACCTTTCAGCAAGGACCTAATTCCAGATAAGAAATATAGCCACCAAACAGTATCTTCATCTATTGAAATATAGACTTGTACCTTGCAAAGGTAATGCATCAGTGTCATCTTATTGTTAGAAGCTCGAGTGTCAGTGAGCTTTAATAGACTATCCAACTTAAATCCAACTGCAGATCCTGCATAAAATGACAACATTCTTACTTAAAAGTTTCTTCCACAAACCAGATATTCTACATAGGATCAAATCCTAGAGAAATACATAAAAGGTTGAAAGATAACACATGAAATGCCAAAGATAAACTAGATGTTCATAGTAGAAAAGATGCTGGTCTAAGAAATTACTAACCCCTTGCTGTTCCTTGATTCAATGTATTCCCCAAGTACAGAATTTTCTTCATTATCTCCTTAAGCTTGATAGATTTTCGGACCTGAACCAAGAGAAAGTGAACAGTGTCAAGAAATATACACAAGCGAATAAATGTTAGTATCATGAGTTAAGTACCTCTTCACAGGCAGAGTTCACAGTGTTTAAACTCTTCTTGAATTCAGTAATCTGCATAAAGAGGCAAGAATTACAACTGAAGCACGAGAAAAAGAATCCTCCTAAGAAAATTATAGATACTGAAGACATCACAGAACCTGAGAACCAAACTGGATCTTGAAAGAAAATACTCTTAATTTTGACTCCACTCGGGGAACTTTCATCAGCTCCAAAAAATACTGAAATAAATACAATCAAACGTATATAAGAATATGATTATATATATATATATATATATATATATATAAAAACCGCATAAACTGCGGCACATTGCCTCTGACTTGAATTTGATCTCTTTTTAAACATTTTACATCTTACAATCAACTTTCATTTATAAACATAGTTTCAAAACTCTTAAATGTGACTTGCACCACATTTTTCCCAACAATATCTGCTCCTCTCTTTTCAATTTTAATGCAACCATAACATGAAAAGGAAAAAAGAGCCAAACAACAATTCATAATGAATATTATATATTCAATTTACAATGCAGAGTATGATTATTTTTTGTCACTAATATGCTCCAGGAAAATTATATTTTTATAAATACCCAGTCATGATTCACGCAATTTGACAACACCAATGCAAGTTCAATGTGCTCACACCTTTCTGTTAAAACACTAGAAGTTATAGTACAGTTAGAAAAGTCACTAACCAACCTGCTCACACTTTCCCAAATTCTCCTTGTCCCCAGCATATCCCTGATTGTAACCAAGTGGAATAAAAAGGGAGTAAAAAAGCAAATCGAAGTAAATGTGTGCAAGCCATTATAACAGCATATCCCAAAAACGGGGCCCCAAATAGCCAGAATAATGTGCAAGAAGCAGCCATCATTATATGAAGTCTAACCTTCAAAAGTTCCATCTCCTCTTTAGTAGGACAAAATTTGATGAGATTTTCAACCTGATCAACATCTAATACGGAGTCATCCATAGCTAGTACTGCAGCCTGGGAATAACCATTTCAATATGTTAGACAGTCCTAACAGTTGATAATTACATGTTACAATCTCAGAAGTTTGGAATAGTTAGTACGCTTACAACATGGCAGAAGATCACTAAAGGGTGCACATAAGATAAGAACTCTTAATGACTGCTTTTCAAATGCTACTAGAACAGGATAGAACATGCTACCCTTTACCCAAATCCCCCGCCAACCAACACCTTAGCTAACCCCAAGTCATATGTTCATGAGTACATTTGTCATAACCTCTTGCAATTTAAAACTAATATTCATTATCAATGCGTCAAGCCCAAATTTCATAAATGTACTAGAAGAGTTACCCATAGAAGCACAAAAAATTTCAAGGTATCAGCTTACCATCATATCTGAAAGGGGCATTTTAACCTTTGTAAGCATAATTTCAGTATTATTGGCCCTCCTCAGGTCAATCTACAATTAAAAAATAAAAAAGATTATTGCTTGTATATTAGAGAAGTGACAAATAAAATAAGTCAAGAGGAACAATGAAAAACCACACAAGTACAGCGTGAACTATTAATTCAAGCTGCAGTAATAGAATTATAGTTTGCTGAACAAAGAGGAGTCTACAAAGGGGCAACAGAACAGTGTATTTCATTAGTGTAATCATACTTCTCAACTTCATTAGCGTCATGTTTATCTCCTTGAAATTATAAATAATGGGAAGCTATAAAATACGTTTCCCCCACAAATTAAGATCAAATGCCTATTAGAATATTCACAACTCAGATCATAACGAAGCTGACTTGTTTCACATACACCAAATAATAGGATCACATTCCGATTCAAATATAAATCAAGCGATAAATGTATTAAAACTTCCTCAAGAAATGAAACAACAAATTTTGGGACTTTAGAAAGACAAAGAGCCATCAGACCACCATTCACACATGCCTTAAGTCAAAATACCGAATTTAAAGAACATTATAATAAATGATACCAAGTGAACTTTGTCAGGTTTGGACCCAGCAGATTTACGTCGATCTCCAGATTTACCACTTGAACCAGTAGGTTTAGGAACATTTGCAGAGAAAAGGCTCTCTAGCTCTGAAAAGTCAAATTCTGGGGCACTAAGATAGAACAATAAACAAGTCATCACAAAAGGAAAGGATGTGAAAAACAAAAAGACAAATGTATAATTATAAAATTTCAAAATAACTCAGGCAAACAAAAGACAATAGAAATGAGTCAAATTACATTTGAGGTTCTCCATGTCTTTGCAATTCTTCCCATAAACTTCCTTGCAATGCCCTTGTCACCTTACTCCAATGTAGAGGCTTTAAGGAGGAACGTTTAGGTGCTACTGCACCAACCCCAATAGGACGTGAAAGTCCACGTCCTCTTCCCCTTGGATCAGAATTTGAACCTCTTGAGCCCAAAGGTGGAGGTGGTGGTGGTGTACCACCTGGAGGTCCAGGGGGAGTTGGAGCATTAGGAGCACGCACTCCGGGAGGAGGGGGAGGAGGCGGGCCTCGACCAGCAGCAGGAGGGGGAGGAGGTATGCCTCGCCCACTAGGAGGAGGGGGAGGAGGTGGGGCTCTAGACATTGGAGGTGGGGGTGGTGGAGGTGCTCCTCTTGATGGGGGAGGTGGTGGTGGAGATGGTGCTCCCCTTGATGGGGGAGGTGGTGCTCCTCTTGACGGTGGAGGTGGAGGTGGAGGTGCTCTACTAAAAGGAGGAAGAGGAGGAGGAGGAGGTGGTGGGGGGGGGAGGAGGAGGAGGAGAAGCTCTACTTGAAGGAGGTAAAAGAGGTGTTGGTGGTGAAGCTATGCTCAAAGGAGGTGGGGGAGGTGGCGGTGGTGGAGCTCTACTCGAAGGAGGGGGCGGAGGTGGCGGTGGAGGTGGAGGTGGAGCTCTACCCAAAGAAGGTGCTGGCAGAGGTGGTGGAGGTGGGGGGTGGGTCTTTACTCAAAGAAGACAATGGTGAGGGTAGTGGAGTTCTACTAAAAGGAGGAGGTGGTGGTGGTGGTGGTGGTGGTGGTGGATGAGCTTTTTTTCATAAAAGGCAGGGATTGAGTAAGTAAAGGTGAAGACTGGGGCAATGACGTGGGTGGTGAAGTGGGTGGTGTATACAAAGACGGAGAAATGGCCCTTGAAGATGGTGGAGGTGGAGGTGGAGGTGGAGGTGGAGGTGGAGGTGGAGGTGGAGGTGGAGGTGGGGGTGGGGGAGGAGGGGGAGGCGGAAAGATTGAAAATCCATATCTTGGAGGTGGCGGCGGTGGAGGTGGTGGAGGAGGACAAGAAGGGGGAGTAGGAGGGGCAACTACACTAGACATTCCAAGACCTCCTAATGTGATTGTTCTATTAGTAAAAGGAGGAGGAGCTGCAGGGGGAGGAGGAGGTGAAGTTACAGGTTGTAAATCCATCTCTTGGTTTTGTCTATTAACTGGTGATGTTTCAAATGCATATGCCTTAGAGTTTTTAGCATGAAATGAAGGTGGCGGTGGCGGTGGCGGTGGAGGAGCAGGTGGTTGTAATGCTTGTGTTGGGCCATTAAGTGGTGCTTGACTTGGTGTTTGAAGACATGTCTCTACAATTGATGGTAAGTTTTCTTCTTCCATTTCCGCTATGGAGTCAGCAGATTTTGGTCCATCCACCTTTTGACATTTCAATCCATTTGTCTTGTCACTAGAAACAAGTGTCCCAGAGACAATAGGTGCAGAGGCAGACCTTGATTTGGCATCCATAGTTTTATCATTTAAAGAGTTAGCATTGGAAAGAGAGGCAGGTGCACTATTATACCTTGATGGCGGATAGTAAACATGCATTGAATTTGTGTAAGAACCTTTGTTAGTAGGAATCCACCTGGTTACTGCATTTGGCTTCGCTTGTTTTGCCTGAGTACCTTGTGATTCAAGCTGCTTAATCTTTTGCTTAGCTGTAAATGTATCTCCCACTGGCTTCGAGTTTGATAAAAGTTGTTTTTTTGCCACAGGTGGTACTTTATCAGACTTTTGCCTGGAAATATCGTGCTTCTGGTGGCCAGCCTTGGAATCTAATTTCTCCTCTGTTGCATTGCCGAATTCATCATATTTACAGTCCATATCTTCCAATTGTCCATGCACGTCTGAATTGACACCCTTCATTTCCATAATGGTATCAGTAGTGACTATCGTAGAAGTATTTCTAATTTCTCCATCATCCACAGCAATATCTTTCACTTCATGAATAGTAGAATCCACGCTGTCATCAAGCTTGTACTTCACATCATCAATAGCAATGTCTTTCACTGCATTAGTACCAGAATCCATCCTTCTGCCCTGTTTGTAGGTCCGATCATCTGATGTACATTCCTGAAAAGCGGGAGGATCGAAGTCCTCTTTCCATACTTCTTTTTGGTTTTGATCATCTACAACGCTATCATGAGCCGGAAGAGAATCATAGTCTACCTTACCTTCCTGCACATCAACTACGTTGCTAAATATCTCTTCCACCTCATAAAATTCCTCAGGTGAAGCAGTTCCTGTCTCATTTGCATCTTCACTTGCCCTGACTGTGGTCAGATTAGGCATAACAGCATCAGCGTCCAAGAAAAGTACCTGGTACAAATATAAATGTACATTCAACTCCTGGTTAATATAATTACGTGCATAGAAGAGTAACAATGACTTACCTCTGCTTTAAAATCCCTGGGAAATTGATCCTTAGAATCCCACAAAATATCAACCTCATCACGGTTGAGCACTAATATGTTTGAACGCACAAATGCTGTGTGAAACATAAGTCTGAACATCATCTCCTCACGACTGAAATCATCATCCGTATGTATGCACTCAAGAACCACATCCCCTTGAACACGACACTGGATATCAATTTTCACCAGCATACACTCTGCCTGCAGTTAAAATTTCCCAACTAAGATATTCTATCTGGTCAGATTAAAAATAGCATCAACAGCTTAAGCGATACGTCACCTGTTGGTAGAGGCGAACATGTTTTTTGTTCTTTGAAGTAGAAAAAAGAAGCTTGGAACTTCTATTAACAAGTTTTGAAGGGTCCTGACCATAAACACGTACAACAGGCCTGCAACCTTTTCCTCCATCAAATAACGGAAGGACTCTAAGAATCAGACAATCCAAATATAAGGGGGTGTCTGATGGAGGCCACTCAGAACCCAGATTTCTCCTGGAAATGTATTGAAGATATCTCAACTGAGAAGGTTGTGGGTTCAAAGGAGATAGAAGCTGGAGAAGTTCTTTAGGGGCTTGCTTGTAGACCATTTCAAGGGTTTTTTGCTCCCCATTGTACTGTTTCCGGTACAATAGAAGACCTGCCAGCATAAACGCAAGCACAGGCCAACCTCCTCTTTCACAATGCATCAAAAGAACATTTTGTTGGCCCTCCAAAGACAACCAGCTTTCACTTGATCGAAGGAAGTGATGGATCATTTCCAAAGGCAGAAGAGGACAGCCCTCGTATTGTCGAGGGTATTCCATAACTGTCATGTCATATTGAGACAATATATCTGAAATTTGACTTCGCTTCTCCCCTTCCCTAAAGTTAAACACCATGAAAGAAGCATCAGGAAAGTGATCCTGCAGCTGAGCTACAATCCCCCCCATATAAACTTTGTATTCATCTTCTTCCAATACATCTGTGGAGAAGCAACAATCGAAAACTGCAAGAACAGAGAGAGAATAAGTCTAATGTTTAGTTTATACAGGTATACTGAACTACTAAGCATAACAGCTATGGTATCCACGGACTTAATAAATAAAATCACAACTAGACAACCAAAATGGATGCAATTATGCCCTGCTGATTACCGTGGCTACTAACTCACTCCAGTGAAACAAAAACATTCCTGGTAAGGTATAAAAACACTGGCTTAAAGGAGAAGTCTCAATGAATAAAAGTGTTCCCTGATTCTTCAGCTAGCAATCCTCCAATCATGACTTGCCAGTCTCTGACTGAAACATTGCTTTCCATTTCTCTATTAAAACTTAGAAACATTTTCATCATTTTGTACCCAAATTCAAACTGGGGCCTTCAACATCCCAGCTCTGCACAGGGTATATAAAGGGAATGCTCCATCATCCCATTTCTTTTCTTTTTTGGCCATTAACTGTCCCATTCCTTTAATATCACCGACTATATGGAGACCAGCAACGACTTGATCAAATGCTACGAGCTGCAGACTAGTAATAAACAGAAGTGTCCAACCATTAACTCAATTCCTGGACCTCCGCGTCGCGGTGAATTTGACAGCACATTTTCCCTCCTTAGCTGAGCACCAGTTTCTCCCATTCATATAGGGAAGAAGCAACAGATAGAAACCAAGAAAGGATTCCCCAGCTAAAGTTCACAGAAAGAGGGGAAATGAACGAAAACTCTGGAAAATAGAAAATTTCGAACACAATTTTCACCGGACTCGGAGCATTAAGAGATGAAGAAAGGAGGAGGAAAGGAGTTCATAAAAATTCGTAATCTTAACGAGTTGCCATACGCATTATTGTAAAACGAAAACGAAGCTTAGTAATTGAACCCTAAACCGCATTTGCCTCCTCCAAGCCACAAATTGAGCAGTACAAAACTCCATGTATGGGGACGGGGGGAAATAATAGGACACAGGCTTCCAATTTTACAATTGCTCTTGCGTTTATAGGCTCATTGTAATTAAATGGGGGGGGGGGGATTTGGAACTGACGAAATAGGAAAAGAAGCCTACCATACACTCTCTCGGAGATCTCCAGAAGCCGATCCGGTGGCTTCCTGTAAAAGAACCTTCTGAACAGCGCCATCAGATGGCGCTGTTTTTACCCCGATCGGATCCAAACCGATAAGTCGGTTGACCGCCAGCAAGATCAAAAAATGTATCGTTCAGCAAATCGCACAGCAGATCTTGCAATCACCCAATTCGAAGAAGCCCAGTACCATCCAATTGATCCCAGCAATCGCCGACTGAAAGTGAGAGCAAGAGCAAAAGCGAATTTCAGAAGCAGCAAGCTAGCTGGTGATCCAAAGGAGAGCAGAACATCCAGAAAGAGAAAGGCGGACGCAGTAGTCAAAGCAAGAAAATCTCAAAAAGGAAACATGATCAAGGAAAAAAAAAAAGGATAAAAGAGAGGTAAACTTGTAGAATGAGGGAATGAAGTGGAGCAAAGGAGTACGTGGGATAGGGAAGAAAATGCGGGAGGAACAGAATCAAAAAGAGATACAATGGGAAGCGATAATGAATTCCCACATGGAGTTAGATAGAGAAGATAGAGAGAGAAAGAAGCGTAGTGGACTGAAAAGGAGAAAACTCTTTCGAAGTTTAGACCTGTCTCCCTCCCTTTCTCTTTCTCTCTCTTGCTCTGCAACGACAAAAAATTTTGGGCAGGCAGGCGGGGGTTGGGTTGAAGACACAAAATCTACGTGGGAGGCGACGTGGCATATACTGTTCACGTTTTGATGAAAGAATATTCATTTTTTTCCTTTAATTTTTAAACAAAGTTCCTGACACTTCCATTAGAACAGAGAAGCCAGAGAAGAAGCGACGGAGCGAGTTTGGACAACGAGGCGAGCTTATATTTATTTAAAAAAATTACATATTATGACCCAAATATTATAATTAATTGATTATAAAACTCAAGTTATAAATTTGTAGAATCTTAGTAGTAGTATTATTTATAAAAACTAAAAAGACAATATATGTATAGATAATAAAAAACAGAGTTTACAATACTACATCAGAATAACTAGAAATGAAAAATAGTAAAAAGTTTATAATTAAATCACTATTAAAAGAACAAATATCACAATTTGGAAAGGAGTTGAGCATTATCAAATCAAATGAGAAAGAGTGCAAATTGATAAACTTTGTGTTTATGCAAATAACAAGAAGAGATTCATGTGACTTAAAATTAATACTCCTCTAATCTTATTTATAAGACACTTTAGTGTATTTTACGCAAATTTTGAGAATCTCCTTAATTACAACTTCTATTTGTTAAGACTTACCTTCATGCAGTGCCAAATAAATTCCCTTTACTCCAAAGAGTATTGATGAGAATTATAATTCTTTGAATTAGATCTTGTCTATCATCTTTATCCAACTAAAAAAGGATATCTCTTGCCTATTGATTAGAACTGTTAAAACTATGCAGCTGAAATCTCGTAGAAAAATAATAAACCACAATGACTTATCAAAAGTGAACAAATGTTTTGAAGTTTCATTCTCAAAAGAGCCAAAAATGCAAACTCTCGTAACACCAAAGTTGTTAGCATATTTTAAGGTTTTATTAATTTTATATTTCTTTTTTATGATAATTTTATATCCGGCTTCTAGTAAACTTCATAACGAACAATAATCACGAATTTTAGGATGTTGCATAACATTATTATACATCAAGTTATATGTATAGATAGTCATGATCAATCCCCGTAAAATTTAAAGAAAATTTGGTATGTTACATGAAATGTAATAAAAAAGAAATAAAACTAAAAATAATTTATAATTAAAAATATTTTTGTGATTTAGTGAAAAAATAAAAGAAATAAGCTATCGTTCCCATATGAATAGAAAAAATGCCATAAATATTGTGTTAAAATTTAAGTTACCCTAGCACCCTAATGTAAAACTAAGATAGTAAACCGTATAATATTAAAGATGAAATAAGAGAAATATAATGCCTGGATGCTTTGTATACTTATTTGATATAAATTTTTTAATCAATCTTATCAAGAAAAAGTAATTTCTTAACCATTAAGTTAAATTATATAACAGCAAAAATGTTGAACACATTTTTCTCTTATCGTTTGATTTATGATTCATGATTCATGATTCTTGATGTGACAATCATTTATTAATTAATATAGAAAATATGTGTTAAAGATGTGCAAAGAGCCAAAGCTACATTTTTAACCAAATTATCATAGTCAAATTTAGCTAAAATTTAATGCTAAAAAGTCTTTTTTTTGCCAACTAAAAAATTCATATTAATACTACCTCTGGTCCTTAATATAAGACATTATTTGACTTTTATTTTAATCATAAATATAAGACCCCAATCCAATTTGTCTATCATATTTATACCTTTTTTTTTTAAGTTAGTCCTTCTAATAATGGTAGTTATAACCAATACAATAACCAATACATTTGATTAGTAAGGATATTTTTGGAAAAACAATATCTATTTATTACAAATAACTAATTTAACTTCTTTTCTTAATCTCTTCAAATTAGTCAATCAGCTCTTATAATTACGACCGGAGGTAGTATATCCTCAAGGGTTGTCAATTTTTTACACCCAGATCGTTACCACTCAACGATATGTGACAAACATTCTAAGTTACTACTCCTCCAGTTCTTAATATAAGACCCATTTAACTAATTTGATTAGATTAAGGAAGTTAGGTAAGTTAGTTAATTATAAAAAATGTGACACATTATTTCTAAAACACTATAATCATCTTTCTTAATACCACATCTCCTTCTTCTACTTGATTATGACTGAGGAAGTATCTACAGGGGTAATTTAAAGAAAATTAATAGATATGAGAAATTGGTCTTATATTTAGGACCAAAACCAACTCAACAATTGGGTCCTATATTAAAGACTAGAAGAGTATTACCTCCGATCCTAATTATAAGAACTAGTTGACTAATTTGAGAGGATTAAGGAAATAAGTTAAGTTAGTTATTTGTAATAAATAGGTATTATCTTTCCTAAAATATCATTGCTAATTAAGTATATTAGCTAAAACTACCATTATTAAAAGGACTACCTTAGAAAAAAAATACATAAATATGAGAGACAAAGTGGATTAAGATCTTATATTTACGACAAAAATAAAAGTCAAACGAGGTCTTATATTAAAAATCAGAGGTAGTAATTCCGTCCTTAATATAAGAGGTAGTTTAACATTTAATTTTATTCTAAACATAAGACCACAATTTACTTTGTCTTTCATATTCATCTAGTTTTTTCAAAATAGTTTTTGTAGTAGTTACACATGTTAAAAATTTTATGAAAGGCAATTCTAGCTAATACATATGATTACCAAAGATATTTTTAAAAGGGCAAAACCTAATTATTAAAAAGAATTAACTTAATAAATTTTCTTAATCTACTCAAATTAGCCAACCAGCTTTTATATTAATAACTAGAAATAATATGATATTTGAATAAACATTCTAAAATATATTTGGCAAACACAATCTAACGTCTTTGAATTTTTATAATTAAAAATATAATTATTGCGACGAAATCTTGCCCTAAGGTTATGATCTAGTGTGTATAAATTTTGAGAAATAAATTACACACTACTTATTTTTTGACCAGAGAAATTACACACTACTTAAAACTTACAAAAAATGTAGCATGTCATGGATTTAAATATTGGTTGATGGTTGATTTTATTCATATGTTTAAATCAGACATGTTTTCATTATGGCACTGATTTCTAAATAATGAGCAACATTATTCCAAAGTTTTTGATCATATAATTTTTTATAAACTTTATTATTTACATTGACATTGGTTTGTTGCTGAATTTTAAGAAAAAAATGTATGTAATTTTTACGAAATCAATTTAATATAATATACGCCAAGCACGTGCATAAAAAAAGAAGAAAGAAAGATGCGCTTCATCAGTTAGCCACGAAAAGCAGCTGTTCAGAGGCTATATAACCAACGTGGCTTTTCTTGATGGCATACAGCCTTTTTTGCCCTTTAATTTTTCCCACTTTCTAATTTCTATTGAATTTGATAGAATTTTTTTTGTTTTCTTTTGTATTTTAATATATTCTAATAGGATTTAAATATTGGAAAATTTAGCGTGGCTTTTTGAGAAAATTTTGAATTGTTATCTATTATATAGGCTATTACAAAATTGGTTACACAGCGGCGACTGAGCTGCCAAATATACATTATTTTATTAATTGATGGCATTTGCTCAGCGGCAACTATAGCATCCAATCTATCATTAACGGTGAAATTATTAGTGTTTTTTTTTTTTTACTTTTTTGGAAATTTGTAGTTTGTAAATAAATTTTTTGCCGAGAAATGAGGTAGCTTAGTTTGCTGATTATTTTCCATAAATACTACTAGTAGTATCTTCGATTTTAAATATAAGAGTTAGTTAACAAATTCAAATAGATTAAGAAAATAAGTTAAGTTAGTTATTTGTAATAAATAGGTGTTGTTTTTCCTAAAACATCTTTGCAAGTCAAGTTTATTGGTTAGAACTACTATTATTAGAAGGACTGTCTGGAAAAGAAATAAATAAATACTACCTCCGATTCTTAATATAAGATTTCATTTAACTTTTATTTTAGTTCTAAATATAAGACCCTAATCTACTTTGCTTCTCATATTTGTGCATTTTTTTTCAAAGTAGTCTTTTTAATTAATAATAGTAGTTCTAGCCAATACATTTGATTAGTAAGGATATTTTAGGAAAGACAATATCTATTTATTACAAATAACTAACTTAACTTATTTCTTTAATCTCCTCAAATTAGTCAACTAGCTCTTATATTTAGGACCGGAGGCAGTATGAGAGACAAGACCCATGATTTTAAATTTTAAGATTTTGAATTAAAATTAACTATTTTCAAACCATTGTTCTCTCTCAAGTGTTCAAGTGATAATGACTAAACTTGACATTTATTATAGTACGTTTAATCAAATATGTAATTGCCACTAGGTCTCATAAATTGCTTGTAATTACTTTTGTTTTTGCATCAATAGCAAGAAATTATAATAAAACACGAACACATATATAAATAATATTGTCTTACAAATTGGTAAAATCAGGTAATGTACAGCCAAAGCCTTTTTGCGCACTCAGCCTTATCATTTCCATTTTCCTACACAAAGGTTCTCACGAAGTAGGGAAAGCGACTGGGGAAATACATCCAACTAATATTTCTGTTTTGCTTTGTTTTGTTTTTTTTTTCTCTTTCTTCATGCACATGTTACATGTTTGTAAAATATTTAGTTATTTTTGCATAATATTATTTTTCATTAGTAAAAATTATAATAGATAGATATCAAGCGCTAATGATATTTTAATATCTATCATAAGAGAATTTGGATTATATTAGATATCATAGCTATTTGATATTTTCCTTCATGTAATGCATAGCCTGAGACAATACTCGCTCAAGTCTTTTTTACAAGTTGCAGTTTTTGAAATAAGTTTGGTTCTTTTTTAAATTTTAATATATATTTTTTCCATTTTAATTCTCATTTGATTATATGTCTCTCATATTTTTCCTTTATTTCCCCCACTCAATTTCTGTCTCACCCCCTCTTTGTAAAAATGAAGACATAATTAGTATATTTGTGGGTAGCTCG